TTTTTGGTTACTACATGATTCCATATGTGTTATTTCATGGTTTTGATATCTTCACTATTATTCTACAATGTAGAAAATAGTAAAAATAAAGAAAAACCCTTGAATGAGTAGGTGTGTTCAAACTTTTGACTGGATTGATGTCATTTCATTTACATCATTTCATGCCTCATCCATGGGCTGAAGGAGGGTGGTACACTCATGGGGATGGCAATCATACATCTTCCACCTGTATTGTAATCGTGTATTGTATTTTACAGTATTGTATTGTACTTATGTATTGTACTGGTCCTATACGTGGCTCCGTTCATAAGAGCATGGCACTAGCAACACCAGAGTTATGGGTTTGATTCGCACTGGGGTCAAAAGGTGTGGACTGTTGTCACTTTCTTGTTTTGGACTTTCTGGATTATTTGCGTATTGGTATTAAATAATAAATAATAATATGCCATTTAGCAGACGCTTTTATCCAAAGCGACTTACAGTCATGCGTGCATAAATTTTTTTGTGTATGGGTGGTCCCGGGGATCGAACCCACTACCTTGGCGTTACAAGCGCCGTGCTCTACCAGCTGAGCGTATTGATATTCTATTGCTGCACTGTATAAAACTAGAAATACAAGCATTTCACTGAACCTGCTGCAATCTGCTAATCTGTGTACGCAACCAACAAACTTTGATTTGTCACATACAGTATATCTCTGATCTTGTCAATGTCATTTATTTTATTTTTTTACTTACTGTGAAGTAAAATCATAATATGTCATACTTCTTATGTTTCTACTTTACAGACATACATTTTTATTATGTAGTTCTCAAAATCTGTAGTAGACTGTTGGAGACTAAGGTAGCCTAATTTATTTTAAGAAAATAAGCATTTTGTGAAATGATTAAATGTATGCCTATATTCCATTTGAATGCCTATATGAGGACAAAAAACAACAACTCTAAAGCAGTTGATTTGATTTGTGACCATGACCTCATATGACACCCCAATAGCTTCCCAATGTGTGATGAGCAGTCCAACAAATCACACCCATCAAATGATCCTACAAATCACTTCAGTATAGTCCACTCATTATAATCTATTTCTATAACCTGCACTTGAATGACTAAATGGGAAATCAAATCAAATGTTATTTGTCACATGCGCCGAATACAACTGGTGTAGACTTTACCGTGAAATGCTTGCTTATGAGCCCTTCCCAACAATGCAGTTGAAAAATAAAAATAAAATAGTAACACAAGAGGAATAAAATAAAATACACAAGAATGGAGCTATAAACAGGGAGTACCAGTACCAGATCAATGTACAGAGGTACAAGGTATTTGAGGTAGATATGTACATGAAGGCAGGGTAAAGTGACTAGGCATCAGGATAGATAATAACAAGGTATTTGAGGTAGATGTGTACATGAAGGCAGGGTAAAGTGACTAGGCATCAGGATAGATAATAAGAGAAAAATAAAGAACCTGGCTTAGAAATTCCTCAGAAGCTTTGCTGTGGTTTTATTACAGGATATCATAATACAATTGAAGGAAACAGGTGGCAATTTTTTTTGTTGATTTTCTAATATTCCAGCAGTAGGCAAGACACCCTGTTTAGTTAAGAAAAAAATACATAAAATAGTTAGCCATCCTATTTTCTAGGCTAATATTCTACCAGTAGACTACTGTAGCCTAGACCTAGTATTCTCCAGCAAAGCAGATCGCAGTTTGACGGTGCAAGGCTAAAACTGTCAGCCTGATGACCACACAAGTGTTACGGACAGAGCAGAGGATGGTCTGACACCAGGCAGCCAATGGATAGAGAGGGGTGATGTCACTGGGAGCTGGGCTGAGCCTGACAGCAGAACAGTGGGCCAGGAGGCCAGCTCACAGACAGACCGTGGTGGGGACACCCACTACAACTGGACTGAAGCAGACCTGGGATCAAACACAATTTTAAATATTTATAATACTTTAGCTGTGCTTGATTGAGCTTGCCTGTTGCAATGAAATCAATAGCAGTCTCAAAAGTACAAACCCTGGCACGCCAGCCAGACTAAAGCAAACGCTCAAATTATTTGAAAGATTTCAAATAGTATTTGAACCCAGGTCTGGACTAGAGTCAGCCAGTTGCAACTCTGACAATGATTGCATTGGCTAACTCTTCACTGTCTAGGCACAAACTGGCCATTTAGGAATAGTACAAGGAGTGTAATGTTAGCTGAACAGACTGGTACCCAGGCTAAAATATTGGTACAACATAGAAATTAATTAGTCTGTCTTTTTAGTTTTAGTTTAGTTGCTTATTTAGATCTGAGAAGAGAGATCATTTTCAGTGGTGGTTCTTATTGGCTTGAAACTAACACATTCTCCAGTAGGGGGTGCAGATATGCTAGTTTTTGAAGAGACGTTGGCTGACTGCCAAACTGAAACCTGTATTTTAGCCGTCTGCACCCATGCTTTATCAGGACGGTTCATTCAACTCACGATCAGTCAATGCACCAAAATGAACCCATTTAGCAGAGGCTTAAGAACAATACCATAGATAGACCAAGACACTGGCACACACAGAAGACGGCGATCAGATCAAACGGCGAAGCAGTCTTGTTGCTGCCGTTCAGTGTTGGTCGGAGAGAGGACAACATGCATAGCATGCTCCTATGGCCTGACAGTGTGTTATAGGCTCTATAGGTGAGCGAGTCATGCACGTCCAGCACAAGATGGAACTTCTCAGCAGGTGGCTGAGGAACTAGAGGAATGTGTAGAAACAGGCAGCAAGCACACCATGTCCAGAGAGAGGGGTGGAGAGAGATCTGAGAGAGACAGAGGGTGTGTGTGTGTGAGAGAGAGAGAGGGGTGGAGAGAGCGAGAGGGGTGGAAAGAGAGATCTGAGAGAGACAGAGGGTGTGTGTGTGTGAGAGAGGGGTGGAGAGAGAGGGGGGGGGGGGGGGGGGGGGGTGGAGAGAGAGTGTGTGTGAGAGAGAGAGGGTGAGCTGGAGGGAGAGTGAGTGAAAGACCAAATTGCAAGGCAGAGATACAGTACTATCAGTCAACCTGAATGACAGTCTAGGGAGCCTAGGGGACCAACACAAAATCTTGAAATGACCGTTTAAGGAAGTGCTGACATCTGACTTAGTCAGCAAACAAGAACAAGTTATGAAAAACACTTAGGCCGAGGTATACGTCTGTCAGCAGGCGCAGACTAAATACACCAAACCTTTCGGTTCAGAGGCCACCCTCAATTTACGGTTAGGTTATGAATTGGCAATGTGATAAATAAATACCACATTCAAAAGAGCTGTACAAGTGTTGTCTTTTATTAATAATAATAATATGCCATTTAGCAGACGCTTTTATCCAAAGCGACTTACAGTCATGCGTGCATACATTTTTTTTGTGTATGGGTGGTCCCGGGGATCGAACCCACTACCTTGGCGTTACAAGCGCCGTGCTCTACCAGCTGAGCTACAGAGGACCACGTTATTGTACTTGGTGTTGCATGTTGATAGTGTAAAGTTTAAATTCTAGTCTAAAACACCATGATTCAGTAAGCAGTATGGGGAAGCGAGATGATGTGAGAATAGGTCACAGAATAGTCGAACAGCAGCCCCTCATCGCCTGGGGACAAGGCCAGTCAGAATGGTTTTCTACGATAGCTGAAATGGGTTTAATTTATAGTCACTTTAGGCAGTGGTGAGAATGACAGTATTATGTTGCATACATGGCAGACTGGGGGTGTATTCACTAGGAACCAAATGGGCCTAAATGGGAGGGACTAACCTGAATCGTCCAAATAAGAAACGCTCGTTTTCATTGCATAACATTTCCCATTGCAAAAAATGTTTACATCTACATGTGCACTAATGAATACACCCCAGTCACTTTGCTAAACAATTACTGAGACAATGCAGCTCGGACGGGACCAGTAACTGCTAAGACAACGACTTGTCTTTTATTCAATTAGGAACGGAAAGATTACAACAAAACTGACAGCAGAACATACTTTCCAACATGTAGAAAATTTGGTTTATTTACGGTACATACAGTGGGTAAAACATTCCATGAAAGAAATGCGGCAGTTTTTTTTTAAGGCATTCAGACTTCAAGAAGTTAACACTGTACAAAATAATTGCACTGAAAAAGTAGACCAAATTGTGACAAATATTACAATAACTAATCTGGAATCTTGTTTCTTCAGAGCCAAAACATTCGTTGAACTATTATGCAAAAATGGATTCTTAATTACTCATCGGAATCTGATACTTGAAAGAATATCCCAAGATGCAAAGCACATGGTCTTAAATAAGTGCTATCCGTTACTCTCTCTCATACAGACACACGTACTGTACATGAGAGAGATAGATTAACATATATAACTTATTTAAGACCATGTGCTTTGCATCTTGGGATATTCTTTCAAGTAATATATATATATATATATATATATATATTAAGAGTCATTAAATAACAACCACGGTACAAAAGCAAATATCTCATTCCTAGAAAGTGGAATTCCTATAGTTTTCCCACTCACTCCTAGAGTGTTAATTTGGTTGGGCATCAATTGTTGGCGCTTTCTTTCCCTCCCCTGTGTTGCATCCATCTTTTTCTAGACATGTCCATGTCTACAAGCAAAGTACATAACATTACTTCCATAAGGCATCTCGGGCGAGTCCTGACAAAATATTTTTCTTCAAGATATCGAGACGACACGTACGCAAATGCTCTCAAAGCCTCTTTCTTCCACCTTGTCCTATTGGAGAAGGGAGACCGAGGTCCATATTCAACTGCAGTAAGAGTAAAAAATAAATACAAAGTATTTCTTTGTATAATAAAGACTGATCAGTATGTTATTTAACTACGTTTCAGTGCAGAGGTGTGTCTGTGAAGCAGGATGAAAAAAAATAACACCAACCAGGCTTCTGTTTGACCATCCAACTGAAGTCACAGGCACCATCACCCACACCAGAGGTATAAATCGTGTTATATACAAATGACCCAGAGACCTTATGTACGTCCCAAATGGCACCCTATTCCCTATATAGTGCACTACCTTTGATCAGAGCCCAGGTCAAAAGTTGTGTACTATATAGGGAATAGGGTGCCATTTGAGACTTGGAGAACTTCCTTCATCCTCTTCTACAAGGAGGAAAGACTCCTGTTAAGAGCAACTTGGACAGGAGGAGACCACTGGTGCTTTCATGGGTAATGCCACGGCAGAACTGAACTTCTACGCCAGCCTATATGGAATATGGTCTGGTATTTAATGAAAGCTAAACAGTACGTTGACTATGAAGTAGGTAGGGCTGTTTCAACAGCAGCTTATGGTCAAATGAGACTGAAGTTGGGTGGCTTGGTAAAATAAAAACAAATAAAATGTAAATAACGTGAATTTTATCTTGAACTTGACAAAAGCTGGACTTCTCCCAGGATTTAGACTCTTATGAAATGAATGTCAGCAAAGCGCGACTGATTGACAGATCCTGACATATCGAAGAGATTCATTTTTGTCCGAATTGAACCAAACGACATGATCAAAACAAAACTTGCCTGCTTCGCCTTAACAATTTCAAAAGTGCCACAGAGGGTTAATTAATAATAGCACATGAATAAATTAGAGGTTAATGTTCTCCCATCTTCATTGTTGGTGCACAGATGGCACAGGCGGGTAGTTTGGTTGGTGTAATGGTGTCACACATTACACCCGTCTATCTCCGCCACACACACATATTCAGGTTATTCCACAGATAACATGACTCTCTAATCAAGACTCTTCGAGTGTCCGTGCCAAAATGCCCAGTCTTTCCACTAAATAAGCTCGCTTTGGCTAGTAACCTCACACAGCATTCATTTCAAAAACATCAAATAAAAAAATACACAATTTACTGAAAGGTCTAGGACCGTTTTAAAGCCAATATTAGTCTGAGGAACTCAGGAATAGGTTAACTCATAATACAGAAATGAGACATCAATGAACCATGATCTGATCACTACTACGTGCAGCACTACTAACTCCATCATCGCTGCAATTTACTACAGATACATTCTTTCCATCTTTCGTTGGTTTTGCCTGTTTCATCATATCTGGTATCGGTCTTATCGAGTCCGTAACAGTTGGAGGCGGTTGAGACAACATTACTCAGCCAGTCTTGTGGCTGCCGTCACCTGTTCGCTGGGCGCGGGCTGAGACAAGATCGCGGGACACCCTCTTGCAGTCCTTGGCCAGACCCAGGAAGCACATGAGGTCTATGAAGGCGGTGGTGATGTTCATTTTAATGCCGAACTCACTGGTGGCGTAGTCGAAGGGGAAGGTGTGGTGGTAGTTGTGGAAGCCCTCGCCTGGAAGGAAGGACACAAGGGGACAGGGAAATCAGGTTAAAACCATAGACCAACAGCTGATGTGGGGACAGCCAAGACAGGATTAATTTTTTGGTTTTACTCCATGCACCTGCTAATGCTACAGTTATGAATCTATGAGAGTTACTTCCCCCCCCCCAATAGGCTTGAAAACATAATTTGATAACAGTACAGGTGATATGTAAACTAAAGCACTTGGAGTCAGAAGTTCCACAACAGGGATGGGTAACTTCAGCCTTGGTGGGCGGCTGTGTGCAAGCTTTCATTCCAGCCTAGCACTCAAACACATGATTCAGCTAAGTTAATTATAGTCTCCAACTTGAAGAACCAGAATTAGATGACTCAAAAACCTGCACCAACCTACAGCAGCCCTCTAAATCCAGAGTTGTAAGTATCTGAGCTATATTAGTGTCATCTTGGTTGATAGTCAATTACAATTCCCACTTGTTTTAAGCTATTCAACTAAAGCGTGATTTTCACAGCTGACAAACAGGCAGCTCATATGGACGAGAGGTTACAGTAGAACAGTGGTATTGAAAGTCGGGGGTGAACTGCAGTGGGGTCACCAAAATGATTTAAAATGACACATTGGCTGTGTCTATATACTCCCTATAGAGTGCAAGGTTCTGGCCAAAAGTAGTGCATTATATAGGGAATAGGTTGCCATTTCAGATTTGCCAATTGTGAAACCTGGATGAATTTATTTTATTATACATACATCTCTATGGTCCCCGCCTAACTTCCAGTATTAAGAATCCTTTATAGTGCCTGGGGTTGGTTGTGAAGTATAAGCCACTGCCCACTGTGATAGTTCACGTAAAATGGGGGGGGGGGGGGGGGGCTTACTACAAGTGAAAAAATACATTGACCCCAACTCTGGAGAGTGGCTCTCCACCCCCCCCTTAAAGAGAAAGATGATCCAGTCCTTACCGATGGCGCTGAAGGCCACGAAACGGTTCTCACTGGGGTTGATGTTGCGGTCGTAGGGTCGGTTGCCCCACATGTGAGCGGCAGAGTTGACCAGCCAGGTAGCATTCAGCACCAGGGCGTACCTCATGAGGCCCGGGATGAAGTAGCCCACCCACAGGGACTCACCCCACAGGTACCAGGGCACCCACATGGGCACCAGGAAACACAGCAGGACCACAGACAGCTTGTAGTACCTAGAGGAGAGAGATGAGATGTTAAAGATCTACTGAGAGTGGAGACATTGTTTGGTGTGTGTGTGTGTGTGTGTGTGTGTCTCTCAAATACAAAGAAAATCTATTGAGCTCAGCCATTCATTTCTGGGGTGGGTGGGAGAGATTACATTTATCAAACATAAATAAGTAGCTATGTTACTCAATAGAGCTTGTAAATGGAAATAGAAGCATGCAATTTGAACACCAGGCTATTCTGTTACGATGAATCTAAAATGAAGTTACTAAAGCTGGGAAGTCAACAACACCACCACCCCAAACACCTAGTTTCATAAACAGAGGTACTATACTGGGGAACGTCGCACCTAGTTCTCAGTCCACATAAAACATGTTTTGACAAAATCTTCTGATCAGTTGAGTGCGTCTACCACCTTATGTTAAAATCACCCTTTCCTATAAGAGCTGTGGTGATACTAGTTTGGGACTGCGTCCAAGAGTACCCGCTGCATGTTGACCAATGGCCAGCCAGTCACCAGCCACTGTACTTTATGGGGGTATGGCCTGACCGTGGCCCTAGCAGAGATGACAACTCTTATCAAAAGATCAGCAACCAGCGCTGTCACGTCCACCGCAAACCAGACTACCACTTCCTCTGGTCGTGGCTAGAATGGAGAAACGTATTCAGAGAGCACCAGTGCAGAGAGCACTGCAACACTCACGAGAGATCAACAGTCAAGTTACTGGGGCTGCTCTCACGCAACATACACAGAAGTATAGCTAACTGGGGCATAGATTTATCTTGTCTGGTCACATGGTCAGGAAAGCACCTGGTCCTAACAATGAGACATTTGTGTGGAACACTCAAGAGTTTGGTTTACTTTAGATATTGTCATGCATAGACAATGAATTCAAATACATCTAAATGTTGTTGAGTAACTGCTGGTCTCGTGGAACATCCGTACGTACAACAATGTGGAACACACCAGTTTTGGTTTGCTTGATTATCTTGTAGTGACAAGATAAAAAAGGTATTATGTCTGGTGGCATAGCTGAAAGTAGAGGGAAAACGCAAAACTCAATGGCATCATCTGATCACCAGTCACATGCAGTCCGAATCTTGATGTGACATTCATTCTGTAACCACCGGTTTCTATGGTGGATTTTATACAGAGCTCTTTCAAGTGTTCAATGAGCGTTAAATTACCCCTCTGTGGTACATTCTGTGCCGTGCCACTGCCAATGGAGGTTTGGTACAACTTTTCCAGAATGCAAATAGGCTTCTAGCTACAACACTGCATGATTCAGAGCGAGGGTACTGACAAAGGCCTCGTCAGGGCCAACACCTTTAAAAAGGCCCAGCGCAGTCAGAAATTCAGATTTTACTGTGTTTTGTATCATATTGTACAACAGCCGATGAAACTAACGCTGTAAAAGTGTGACATTTTGATAAGTGTTATTTCCTGATAGTTGCTGGTTGAAAATACAATCTACACAGGACCTTATATTCAGCCTGTTTACATGGGAGGGAGTTTCAGCTTGCCTGGTGACATCACCAGGTGGTAAATTGGTTAATAGGAAGAAAAAAAAAAAGGGGTTCCGAACCTCTGCCAATAACAGCTAGTTTTAAGATTCCCCCTCCCACTCTGACCACTCCCAGACAGTCCTAGCAAAAGTCTTGCTTGAGAAATAGTTTTTCGCTAAAAAGCTATTTTTTGTCTGTTTTAATGGATACTATTACAGCAAGGTTACCCAGAAATAGAGATAAATACTGCTGCATTGGTCCTTTAAAAAAAATACTTCCAACTGAAAGGTGACAGCTAGCTACTGTACGTAGATTTTAATAAAGTACAACAAGAAATCCAGTTCCTCAAAACAAACAAACACTTCATAATTGGTGGCATGAGGGTACAACTGTTCTTATGAAAGGAGGGGTTTTTACGCACATCCAAGAACATGACCAGGAATAAGATCCAATACATGGCTCACTGACTTGCTGCTCCCAAATGTAATCTTTTGATAAAGTTAAATAGGTGATACAATAACAATGTTGACAGATGGTCTTTGTTAGGTCAAGCTTTAATCAACAGATAACGTCTGAGGAGCAGCAATCTCCCTAAAGCAATATCTTTAAGTATTAAGATAAGACAATAAAACGTTATCTTATCACAGAAATGTGCATTGCGTCATAAACTCTTTACAGGACATAATACCAATAGACAAACCGTCCTGTGTGGCTCACTTGGTAGAGCACGGGGCTTGCAATGCCAAGATCGCAAGTTCGATTCCCGCTGGGGCCACCCATCCGAAAATGTATTCACAACTATGAGCTTCTTTTGATAAACGTGTCTGCTAAGTGGCATATAAGACATTAGATGAAAGGCAGGGGACTAGGACGGTACAGGGCATGGACTGAAAATGTTATCTTCTTACTTTCTCTGGAACATGACGACTTTATCTGCCTTCAGGTCCGTCAGCTCCAGCTTCTTGCCCTTCTCGATGACTTCAGGGTGCTTGCGTACAAGCAGCCAACCAATGTGAGCGAAGAAAAAGCCCCGCACTGCATTGTGGGGGTCGGCATCCGTCTCAGAGTACTTGTGGTGAACCCGGTGGTCCCTCGCCCACTCATAGATGTCATTCTGGAAGAAATAAATGAAGTGATGTGGTTGTTTAGGAGGTACTTACAGTTGAAGTCGGAAGTTTACATACACCTTAGCCAAATACATTTAAACTCAGTTTTTCACAATTCCTGACATTTAATCCTAGTAAAAATTCCCTGTCTTAGGTCAGTTAGGATCACCACTTTATTTTAAGGATGTGAAATGTCAGAATAATAGTAGAGAGAATGATTTATTTATATCATCACATTCCCAGTGGGTCAGAAGTTTACATACACTCAATTAGTATGCGGTAGCATTGCCTTTAAATTGTTTAACTTGGGTCAAACATGTCAGGTAGCCTTCAACAAGCTTCCCACAATAAATTGGGTGAATTTTGGCCCATTCCTCCTCACAGAGCTGGTGTAACCGAGTCAGGTTTGTAGGCCTACTTGCTCGCACACGCTTTTTCAGTTCTGCCCACAAAATGTTCTATAGGATTGAGGTCAGGGCTTTGTGATGGCCACTCCAATACCTTCACTGTTGTCCTTAAGCCATTTTGCCACAACTTTGGAAGTATGCTTGGGGTCATTGTCCATTTGGAAGACCCATTTGCGACCAAGCTTTAACTTCCTGACTGACGTCTTGAGATGTCGCTTCAATATATTCACATAATTTTCCTTCCTCATGATGCCATCTATTTTGTGAAGTGCACCAGTCCCCCCTGCAGCAAAGCACCCCCACAGCATGATGCTGCCACCCCTGTGCTTCACAGTTGGGATAGTGTTCTTCGGCTTGCAAGCATCTCCCTTTTTCCTCCAAACATAACGATGGTCATTATGGCCAAACAGTTCTATTTTTGTTTCATCAGAACAGAGGACATTTCTCAAAAAAGTACAATCTTTGTCCCAATGTACAGTTGCAAACCGTAGTCTGGCTTTTTTCTGGCGGTTTTGGAGCAGTGGCTTCTTCCTTGCTGAGCGGCCTTTCAGGTTATGTCGATATAGGACTTGTTTTACTGTGGATATAGATAGATACTTTTGTACCTGTTTCCTCCAGCATCTTCACAAGGTCCTTTGCTGTTGTTCTGGGATTGATTTGCACTTTTCGCACCAAAGCATGTTCATCTCTAGGAGACAGAACTTGTCTCCTTCCTGAGCGGTATGACGGCTGCGTGGTCCCATGGTGTTTATACTTGCATACTATTGTTTGTACAGATGAACGTGGTACCTTCAGGCGTTTGGAAATTGCTCCCAAGGATGAACCAGACTTGTGGAGGTCTACAATTTTTTTCCTGAGGTCTTGGCTGATTTATTTTGATTTTCCCATGATGTCAAGCAAAGAGGCACTGAGTTTGAAGGTAGGCCTTGAAATACATCCACAGGTACACCTCCAATTGACTCAAATGATGTCAATTAGCCTATCAGAAGCTTCTAAAGCCATGACATCATTTCCTGGAATTTTCCAAGCTGTTTAAAGGCACAGTCAACTTAATGTATGTAAACTTCTGACCCACTGGAATTGTGATACAGTGAATTATAAGTGAAATAATCTGTCTGTAAACAATTGTTGGAAAAATGACTTGTGTCATGCACAAAGTAGATGTCCCAACCGACTTGCCAAAACTATAGTTTGTTAACAAGAAATGTGTGGAGTGGTTGAAAAACGAGTTTTAATGACTCCAATCTAAGTGTATGTAAACTTCCGACTTCAACTGTATATCCAACACTAATAACAGCAACAAAGGAATCTTGGGCCGTGTGAATCAAGCGTCTCAGAGTAGGAGTGCCGATTTAGGATCAGTTTTGCTTTTTAGATCACAATAAATTAGACTACATAGACAGGGAGAACCTGATTCTAGATCAGCACTTACTCCGAGATGCTTGATCTATATGGCCATAGATCCACAGTTCTGGTGTTTCTACTATAGAGAACCATTGACAGCCATGCAAGCTGATGGGCTCATACCCGAAACGTTCGGCAATAAAAATGTAAATTTAAGTTTAAGTGCTGTCCTATTTCTGTTCTTTGTACCATAGAGCTAAACCATGTATTTATCTCCATCTCTATGCTTTAATTCTACAAGCAATTGATATGTCAGAACACACTAATATTAACAGGTATGGGCACAACACCAGAGAGAGGGTTTAAACATAGTATACTTGAGTATAAATCCACAGTAGAGAATTACAGTTCAACACAATGAGTATTAAGAGGTGACGATCAGATTAACGGGGCAGCATCAGTCAGTCAGCACAACAACGCAGATTATACAGGCAACAGCACTCAGATTAAATGCAATCATTAATGCCAGTGGAAATGTGTTAGAAACACTCAATCATCCTTTATATACACCAGCATATTGCACAATTGGTCGCTCATTAATGCGGTTGTTGTTATTGGTGGGGACTGGCATAGACCTTTTTTGACTAAACCCTTAACCTGATTGCATTGGCCACTTCTTTAAATCAAGTCATCAGTTTGTAAGGAGGTCATAGGCCACATGATGTCACTTCATACATCTAATTTGGGGGATTTATAGAATATAAAATGGGTCTATTTAATGAGGGGATTTTGTCCCTGATTTGGATAAGTATTCTTGTGTTGATGTTTTTGATGAAGGCTGGCTAACGCCGCTAAATCGTTGGCACTTGGTGGTAGTCCCTGCTAGCTCTCTGTCCTGCTTTTCTAACTTTCCCTCACGGATATGCCAACACAATAAAGGCCTTTTAAATTGAAGCAACACTCTAGAAAAAAAGAGCCTTGGTCTTTTGGAAGAGCCATGTTGGTTGTTGGCACTAGTTTAGCCTTCCAAGTGTATGATGCGTGTGTATGCCTGTGTCTGTTTTTGTCCCTGTAGGTGTCCTATGCTGGCGACAAATCCAATTTCCTCTGAGGTTCAATAAAGGTTATTCAATTCAAAAAGTTTTCCTCTGTTTACCTGAAAGGCCATGGAGTTAGCGAGGGCCAGAAAGACTCGGAGTGGGGTGGAAGCCTTGTAGGACTTGTGACTCCAGAGGCGGTGCGCCCCCGCGGTTATACCAAGGGCACTGATCAAGAAGCACAAAGCAGCTAGGGAATGGAGAGAGACAGAGAGAGAGATTAGGCTAGATATACAGACACCCATGTTTGGCTCACACAAGCATACACAGAATCATGTGAAAATGAGAGACATTTGACTCCTAGTAGTTAAAAGGGACATCATGCCCCATGTCCGTTACCCATCCCTGCCTAGTTTCTGTCATGATAAGAGTTATTTCTGTTGGGAACTGGCAATAGCAGTATGTATGCATGTCTACTCTACTACTCTCAGGGTTGTTGTTGTAAAACTGCTGAATGTGTTTCTATGTGCAGCCACATAAGGCTGCTTAGGATGTGAGAACCCGGGACCTCCAACTGGTCCGGCAGCAAAGAAGAGACATTCTGTTGTGGTGCCATGTAGCCTCACAATGGAATGTCTATTGGAATGGCGATTGTTCTTTGTCTTGCTTAGTGCAATAATGTGCAGTTCAGCATATGAGAGCGAGAGCGCGAGAAAGAAAGGCAACAGTGGAAACACAGTTTGGGTTGTTTAGTATAATCCACGTCATAAATCCTGTCTATTCCAACTATTCTCACAATAACATAATTAAAAACCCCTGCACGTTTTGTTCTGTCTAAACAAGCAAACAAAGATGGGTGTAGCTATTTTCTAATTCAGAAACATATTGTGAACAGACGTGCCTCAGGCCACACATTCCAAAAGTCTCTCCATCTGCACCACAGTAGGCCTAGCCTATGTGCCGTTTGTTTAATTTATGATAGATGGTCCGTAAACTGTTAGGCTACATATTCCGTTATATGATACAAGAGAAGTCACCCAATAGGCCCTTATGACTGTGTGTTTGTTATTTCCATTGGAAATATATTGAGTAGGTGTGCCCCGAAATAGATTTACCAACATCCAACAATATTCTTATAGGAGGGCGGGCAAGCAGCAACATGTCGGTGTAATACCACCAAGCGTCTACTTCACAAATGCATCACCCGGTTCAGCACATTCTCTTCTCGTAGGTCGACCGGATAAACCATACTGCGTAGCCCAACAACTTTAACGAGGAAAAATGTAAAACGCGAAAACCCGATACAAGCGCAACAAAAACATTTGACTAAAATGGCACATGCAGTAAATGGGGATACTTACTCCAAGCCAGAGTTAGGGCCGACGCGGAGGGCACGAGCATCAGTCCATAACACGCTCCAATATGTAACAAAAACATTAATATGATGTTTCTCCACACCAGTCTCATCGGCGGTTTAGGGCCCTCTTTTGCTTTATAACTATCATCAAAAACATCATCCCTCGTCGACGTTTCTGGCATCACGGCATCTCCGTTTTGTTGGTTGTTGGGGTTTCTCGTCTCTGTCATTTTTGCTGTAGAATTCTGTAATGCGCAGTGTTGAGATGAGATCTGTACTTGAAAGACGACAGATAGCTATTCAGTTTACATGACAAACACCGGCATCATGGTCCATCCCACCAGGAAATCGACCACGCACTTCACACTGTGAAAGTGCGTGCTCGATTTCCTGGTGGGCCAGCACAGCACTGGTTGCAATGCTAGGATAGCATAGGCTGCTCTAAAAAGCACACATAATTCAATTTGCTATCAACTGGCATCAAATACATAACTTACTGCGTGGAATGAAGTGAATCGTTACAATATATCAAAAGGGGCACAACGCGGAGATGGCTTCTTCGGGCGAAAGTTGACAATAGAGCCTGTTGTGCAGCTCTACTCGTAGTGATGACTCTGCTTACCTAACCTGCTGCTGAGTTTCTTCTTCAGACCTCGTTTTAAAGACTGCAATTGGTCGAGGGGCATTTCATGCCACTTCTACCCTAATCGTTTCATTGGTTGCCTTCGTATCTGATGTTTATTTTACAAACCCTGACAGTGAAATGCTGAAAGTCATCCAGATAGCCTCCCTCCCTCTTTTTTTTTTGTTTGTTTCTTTCTTTCTTTCTTTACAGTCACACTCATGTCAATTTATGTGGTCACAAATTACGCAACTTGTGTCAACATGGTTGGATAGCTGTTTGTTTGATAGGCGTAGTCTAGTTAGATAGACAGACACCACCTTTCCAAAGTCAGTCCCCAGCAGTAACCTATCCATAAATCGGTCATTACAATAAGGAAAATTGCATTTTGTTGTTCATGGAAAGGATGTGGGGTGATGGGAGATGAATGATACATTCCAACATTATGATTTATCACATCACTTAGAAATATAGGCTTACTTAATATAATATTGCAGCAGGTAATATGATATTAACATAATAACTATGAATATAATCTATATACATACTCCAAATGTTCATTATTCAAGGTAGAACTTGTCCTTTTGACACTCCTGAAATCACTTGAATCAAAAGATTGAGGCCAAAGGGTGATGGGTATTTTCTGTTATAATGTTACTCATTCTGTGTTATGACATGAGTATAAAAACGATTCATATAATCTTAAATACAGTGGGGTATGAAATTATTGGCAGATAGGGGTCAAAATTATTGGCACCCGTTTTCAATACCATTCAATACCTAACCTTGCGATGATAACAGCACTGAGCCTTTTTCTAAAATGTTTTATGAGATTGGAGAACACATTGAGAGTGATCTTAGGGACAGATCAACATTTATTTTGGGGAGGGTGGTCCAAAATAGGGGAGGTTGTCAAATCATTTTTGTTTTGTTTTGGGGAGGGTTGTGGGTTTTTGGGGGGCATAGGGGAGGATAGTGCGTTTTTTCCCTGGTTTACGTTTGCTCTTTTGCTGATATTTTCCCTATAAACAATGGCTTGACTTACTTTGATATTACCCTAATAAAGTTTAGAAACATTTGTGGCTATTATTAAGCTTTAGCTACTGTAGGCCTATGATATGAAGGCAGTGCACCCCGGCACTCCAACTGACTCCGACAGTTGAACTTGAGGTGAGGAAGTCTTAGGCCTACCAGAGTTACTCCTATAACCTAACAATATAATGCTTATCTTTATACAAAATATTCTGATAGAAAATTTACTAATATGCCTCCTTCTGTACGTTTATATCTGTATAGCAGACATAGTAGCCATCTGACATAAAGAAATACATGTCGAAGACGTAGCATGCCACCGGCATATCTCTATCTATCTGTCTGGGGTTAGGGCTATGTTTCTCTTCCTTTATATAGGCTATATATATACAGTATATATTTATAAAATATTAATATCATACAGTGGACACCTAAGCCTATAGGCCTATGCATGCAATGTGTCACGTCTCCTCCCGTTGCTCCCCTCCGGCGCTCTGATTCGCCGGTCTACTGAGCCACCGGTCTGAGCACACCACCTCGGCAACACCGGAATGGAAACCCAACGCACCATAATCACTTCCAGCGCACCTGCACCTCATCATCTCATCACCACCCCTATGTAGCCCTGGACTGTTCAGTGTTGTGTTGTGTGTGATTGTTAGGGTCGTGTCGTGTACTCACTCTTTGTTGTTCTCTTGCTTAGTGTTAAGTAAACCTTTACATTGTTGATTCCTGCGTCTGCGTCCTACCTCTTCGTATGCTCAGTACTCGTCACACAAGCCCTGATACATTTAGTGCTTAAATCTCTGACAGCTGAACCGTGAGGTGGACAATTATTATTTTAGGAAAGTAGCCAAAAACTCATAAAAAAATTGACTATAATGTTTTGCATATCCTACACATTGAAACACAAGGAATAGTGTTTTTGTAATTCTATTCCTAGAAAACATTGAACCATTGTAGTTTACAACAATTATAGTTTCTGAGGTGGAAGTTGGGAGAGTTATATTTGGGTGTTTCAGTGAAACGTAAGTGAGGGAGGCCCCGCTCGCTCGCATTCCCAGATGTTTAGTTCATTTCATTCCGATCTCCTTTGCATCATTGTAGCCATTTTCTGTAGCCTGTCAACTATGCCTCTGTCTATCCCTGTTCTCTTCTCTCCACACAGGCTATACAAACGCCTCACACCGCGTGGCTGCTACCTCTCTAACCTGGTGGTCCCTGCACGCACGACCCACGTGGAGTTGCAGGTCTCCGGCAGCCTCTGGAACTGCCGTTCTGTGGCCAACAAGGCAGAGTTCATCTCAGCCTATGCTACCCTCCAGTCCCTCGACTTCTTGGCGCTGACGGAAACATGGATTACCACTGAAAACACTGCTACTCCCACTGCTCTCTCCTCGTCTGACCATGTGTTCTCGCATACCCCGAGAGCATCTGTTCAGCGGAGTGGTGGCACAGGAATCCTCATCTCTCCCAAGTGGACATTCTCTCTTTTTCCCCTGCCCCATCTGTCTATCTCCTCATTTGAATTCCATGCTGTCACAGTCACTAGCCCATTCAAGCTTAACATCCTTGTCATGTATCGCCCTCCAGGTTCCCTTGGAGAGTTCATCAATGAGCTTGACGCCTTGATAAGTTCCTTTCCTGAGGATGGCTCACCCCTCACAGTTCTGGGTGACTTTAACCTCCCTACGTCTACCTTTGACTCATTTCTCTCTGCCTCCTTCTTTCCACTCCTCTCCTCTTTTGACCTCACCCTCTCACCGTCCCCCCCTACTCACAAGGCAGGCAATACGCTTGACCTCATCTTTACTAGATACTGTTCTTCTACTAATCTCACTGCAACTCCCCTCCATGTCTCCGACCACTACTTTGTATCCTTTTCTCTCTCGCTCTCCTCCAACACTACTCACTCTGCCCCTACTCAGATGGTAATGCGCCGTCACAACCTTCGCTCTCTCTCTCCCACTACTCTCTCCTCTTCCATCCTATCATCTCTTCCCTCTGCTCAATCCTTCTCCCTCCAATCTCCTGATTCTGCCTCCTCAACCCTCCTCTCCTCCCTATCTGCATCCTTTGACTCTCTATGTCCCCTATCCTCCCGGCCGGCTCGGTCCTCCCCTCCTGCTCCGTGGCTTGACGACTCATTGCGAGCTCACAGAACAGGGCTCCGGGAAGCCGAGCGGAAATGAAGGAAAACTAGACTCCCTGCGGACCTGGCATCTTTTCACTCCCTCCTCTCTACATTTTCTTCCTCTGTTTCTGCTGCTAAAGCCACTTTCTACCACTCTAAATTCCAAGCATCTGCCTCTAACCCTAGGAAGCTCTTTGCCACCTTCTCCTCCCTGCTGAATCCTTCTCCCCCCCCTTCCCTCTCTGTGGATGACTTCGTCAACCATTTTGAAAATAAGGTTTGTTAAGTCAAATGTCCTCGTTTGTTAAGTCAAATGACACTGCTGGTCCTGCTCACACTGCCCTACCCTATGCTTTGACTTCTTTCTCCCCTCTCTCTCCAGATGAAATCTTGCGACTTGTGACGGCCGGCCGCCCAACAACCTGCCCGCTTGACCCTATCCCCTCCTCTCTTCTCCAGACCATCTCCGGTGACCTTCTCCCTTACCTCACCTCGCTCATCAACTCATCCTTGACCGCTGGCTATGTCCCTTCCGTCTTCAAGAGAGCGAGAGTTGCACCCCTTCTCAAAAAACCTACACTCGATCCCTCCGATGTCAACAACTACAGACCAGTATCCCTTCTTTCTTTTCTCTCCAAAACTCTTGAGCGTGTCGTCTTTAGCCAACTCTCTTGCTATCTCTCTCAGAATGACCTTCTTGATCCAAACCAGTCAGGCTTCAAGACTGGTCATTCAACTGAGACTGCTCTTCTCTGTGTCACGGAGGCTCTCCGCACTGCTAAAGCTAACTCTCTCTCCTCTGCTCTTGTCCTTCTAGACCTGTCTGCTGCCTTTGATACTGTGAACCATCAGATCCTCCTCTCCACCCTCTCCGAGTTGGGCATCTCCGACGCGGCTCACTCTTGGATTGCGTCCTACCTGACCGGTCACTCCTACCAAGTGGCGTGGCGAGAATCTGTCTCCGCACCACGTGCTCTCACCACTGGTGTCCCCCAGGGCTCAGTTCTAGGCCCTCTCCTATTCTCGCTATACACCAATTCACTTGGCTCTGTCATATCCTCACATGGCCTCTCCTATCATTGCTACACAGACGACACACAACTCATCTTCTCTTTTCCCCCTTCTGATAACCAGGTGGCGAATCGCATCTCTGCATGTCTGGCAGACATATCAGTGTGGATGACAGATCACCACCTCAAGCTGAACCTCGGCAAGACGGAGCTGCTCTTCCTCCCGAGGAAGGACTGCCCGTTCCATGATCTCGCCATCACGGTTGACAACTCCGTTATGTCCTCCTCCCAGAGTGCAAAGAGCCTTGGCGTGACCCTGGACAACACCCTGTTTTCTCTCCGCTAACATCAAGGCGGTGACCCGATCCTGTAGGTTCATGTTCTACAACATTCGGAGAGTACGACCCTGCCTTACACAGGAAGCGGCACAGGTCCTAATCCAGCCACTTGTCATCTCCCGTCTGGATTACTGCAACTCGCTGTTGGCTGGGCTCCCTGCCTGTGCCATTAAACCCCTACAACTCATCCAGAATGCCGCAGCCCGTCTGGTGTTCAACCTTCCCAAGTTCTCTCACGTCACCCTGCTCCTCCGCACACTCCACCTGCTTCCAGTTGAAGCTCGCATCTGCTACAAGACCATGGTGCTTGCCTACGGAGCTGTGAGGGGAACGGCACCTCCGTACCTTCAGGCTCTCATCAGTCCCTACACCCAAACGAGGGCATTGCGTTCATCCACCTCTGGCCTGCTGGCCCCCCTACCTCTGCGGAAGCACAGTTCCCGCTCAGCCCAGTAAAAACTGTTCGCTGCTCTGGCACCCCAATGGTGGAACAAGCTCCCTCACGACGCCAGGACAGCGGAGTCACTCACCACCTTCCAGAGACACTTGAAACCCCA